ACAATGTATTAATTTTAGTTAGTTGGTTATGTATTTTTTAAATAAAAAAAAAATTTTTGAATTTACTTACTTGTAGCTGGAGTTAGAGGCGGTCGGATACTTATGACCGCTACTGTAAGTGTAAATGCTTATGTTATATTTTCTAATATATTAATAATAGAAGTAGACTTAAATTATTAATCATAGATAAACAAAAGAATAAGTTAACTTCATGCGTTATTAGCATATTTTTTTTCAAAAAAAACAAGCAATTCATTTAAAATTAAAAATATACAACTTCATAAAACACATAATTTTATAAGATAATACCCATCATGCTATTTAATTAATTCTTCTATTATGTCAATGTATTCTTTTGTAGGTAATACTTTTAATGTTTTTAAATTTCTTACAGAAACTTTGACAAAGAATGTCTTGAATTGAAATGAAATTTCTGTAATTGAATTAATTTTCAAACATCATCTTGAAGATATTTTTGATTTTTTTTGTTAAAAAAAAAAATTTAAAATTTAAAATTGCTTAGTTTAAAAATGTCAAGATAGGACTTTTACTTATGAAGAAATTCATTGATTTCTTGAATGAGTTATTTTATCTTGTGTTTATAATGGCTTTAAGTTCAACAAAGATGAATCCTTGTTACAGGTGCTAACTCAATCCAGTATTTTGAGTATACTTGACAGTAACATCTCTTTCACACTATAAGTTGATCAAACTTTCTTGTATGTTTACCAACCTTTGTTCATATTAAACTTTTATGTAAGTAAATTATTGTTCAGTATATTTTAATTATATGACGAAGTATTCCTTAATGATAATATCAGCTATTTGATGCAATGTATATGTGAGTGCAATAGCATTTTATTGTTAAGATGAATAATCAGTAAAATTTAGTCGAATCAGGAGAAATCAGTTGATCAGAGAAACTAACATAATAGCTAGAGTTTGAGGTGTGATAAGTAGTGGTAGTTGTTGATGGTTGTGTTTTCTTGCTATGCAGGAACTTCAATTGTTTGAATTACTTTCTCTTCTCCCACTTTTAGGAAATTATAAAAAATTTACAATATTAAAATTAAAAAGATTATTATGTAATAAAAAAATATATGAAATTGACCAATCAAAATCAAAGAATTAGTATAAAATTTTAAAGTTAAATAATATATTATTTTTTAAAATAATTATTGAGTGGTAATAGTTCAGTGGTTTAGAACGCGAGATCTTTTATCGATAGAGTTCTGGATTCGATTCTATATATGTTTATTGTTACTCAATATAAAGTATGAGATTTATAGGAAGATAATTCTTTATGTCATAGCATAGTGATAGGGCGAATATCCCCATATTAGATTTTAAACTTTACTCATTCTTTTTTAATGTATAGCTAAACTAATATTAATTTTTATTACAAAAAAGAGTATCCCAGATAGAAAAATACAAATATTATATACGATATATGAAAAAAAATTGAAATGAATTATTTTTGACTACTGAAATAATCAGCCAAGCTTTTGTAAATTAGTGACTATGGTTGTACATAGAATTTAACTTGCTCATATACCCGGTCAACAAGGATATTTCTGGTAAATTTACTTAGTATGATCCTTGCTTTCTCGACAAATTGCGGTGAAGTTATATATTTCCCAGCTTCTTATGGGTAAAGGCTTGTCTTCATCTTTTACTAAGAAAAATTTTAGTAGCATAGCATTTTATAACATACGGTAAAATTATATATATATATATACTGTATATATATATATAATGAGAAATAATTGATTCCTGTGTTAGATTTTTCATTTCTCTTACATTCCGGAGATTTCTACAGCTAATTTGTTTCTATCATTATTGCCAACTACGAGATATATCAGCTTTTCTAAATAAACCATTATCCATTTCTACATTATCGCGGTACCTATATACTGCGCCAGACTTTTTCTATAGTCAGTTTCGACAAAGCCAACAATTGACATTGCGCCAACGAAATACTTATGATTACGATTTCTCAGAGAATATCAACGAAAATTGATTATGGACATCTAATAAAAACAAATCATTTATAGAGACCAAAATTGGTCAGGAAAAAAAATAAATAATGTATTAAAAATTACAAATTCGTATTAAATAAAAACTAGGAATTTCTAATTCAAGAGTTTAGGTTATTATTATTCTAGACCCATATATACTAGGATAATACTATATATCATGTGATTCTCCGAAAAATGACTTTTACTCCGCTAAAAATTACTAAAGTAATAACTTCTCCTATAAAACTGATTTATTATAAATTTTTTTTTACTGAAAATATTATATTGTAATATCCGGATAATAAATTATCAATTAAATTAACAACTAAAATACGTAAAATTAAATGTGAGTGTGAGGGTGATGTTCATCGGCGTGGAAATGAGTGGAATCACTTGCTTGATGGAAGTTAGCTGAAAAAATTTTTTTTTGATATTTTTATTAGTAACGCTACATGATAAGATTAAATCTGAATGAAAAAAAAAAAAAAAAACGCACAATTATTTAATTTAGATGTAATGGTATCAAGATCCAAATTAAGATAATCAACAATATAATCTCCAATATCTATATTTTCATGGTTTCCACGTAAATATTCGATATCCTTCCCATAAGCATAAAGATTAACGTCAACAGCAGTATGTCCATGTGTCGTCCACTAAAAAGAAAAAAAAATTTATATAAATATTAAATTTTTTATATCTAATCAATAAATAAATTTTATTAAACTTAAATAGTTACCCCGATTTGAGCTCTAATACTTGTCATATTAGCCAAATAGTATTCATATTCCAGCTGAGCACGTTCCTCTTTTAGCCAATTGATTTCATAATCTTTAACATTATCTATTCCTAATCCATAATTAATTATCGAATTTTTAATAAAGTTTTCACGATCTACATTCCAATATTGAACTAGTCCCTGTGAAAGAATATATGAAGAATTCTTTACACGCGTTAAAATTTCGGGAAGCCTGCATTATATAAATAAAAAATGAATTTTTTAATTTTTTAATTTTTTAAATAAGAATTAATAACGAAAACGACTTTTTTAGATTATAAATATTTGATAGACATACCATAAATATTCTGGGTAATCGGAATTGACTTGACGGGCAAGAGATATTCCACCAGTTTCATGGTCACTGACTGAAATCATAACCGTGTCAGGGTGTTCATCAACATATTTCTTGACAAGTTCGATTGTTTCATGGTAGGCCAAGATATCGTGAACATGTGTAGCAGGATCATTACTGTAATTTAACAAAGAGGTTAAATTTGACATTTTCATAAATTATGATACGAAATATTAAAAATAATACGAACCTATGGGCAGCCATATCTTTTGATTAAAATTTTGGAAAAAAATTAAAATAAAACGATTTGACGTATAAAGAAAATAAAACGCTAATTTTACTTTTAATTACCAATTCTACTGCCTTCGATCATGAGGAAAAATCCCTTATCACTTTTCGCGGTTGCAGAATCAAGGAACTTTAGAGCCTTTTCTGACATTTCTTTCAAAGAAGGTTCTTGAGCAGGGTCACGATCAATTTCATATGACATATGCTATTTGTATAATGTACATCAAATTATATTAATTATGACATAATATTTATTGAACAATTTAAAGTAAAAACTTACATCGAGTGTAAATAAGCCTAAAAGAGGAAGCCTGTGTTTATTTAAAGGAACAAGAAAATTGTTACACCATAGAATCTTGGTAAGAACAAAAAAATCATGAAAAAACCTACTTGTCTTTTCCAGGTTCAAGATCGTCAAATTCTTTTCTTGTAGCAAAATATTTATATCCTTGCTTGTTTGATTCTTTAACCAGATCACGTTGATCAATTCTACAACTTCCTTCTGTATGATTTGGCAAGAAGTAGCAACGACCTCCACCAAACATTAAATCAACTTGTCTTCCAAGGGGATTATCACCAATTTGTTGTACAGCAATATCAGCCTCCATATCTCTATTAACCACATGAGCTGAAAATGAAGCTGGTGTGGCATGGGTGATACGACTTGTAACAACCAAACCTGTTGTTAAACCAAGGTACTTTGCAGATTCCAGCACGGTACCACAAGGTACTTTCTTTGAATTAACTATGTATATAACGTGCGCGAAATTAGAAAGTGCTGTAATTTTTAAAATAAATTTACACGATAAATATTAACCTCCTATAGCGCCATTGTAAGATTTCAAGGCACATGCAAAAGCTGTCGCTCCGGCGGCAGAATCAGTAACCAAACTACTAGATGACCTCGTTCGAGAAGATCCAACCAAAATTTCATCCAAGGGTGAGACATAATTATATTTCAATTTATTCACGTGTTGATTATAAGTACGAGCAAAAGTCTGTGATGTTGGACCAAATCCGTCAGAGATCATAAGGATGACGTTCCTTTTAGGGAGAGTTTCAACTAATAATTATAAATGTTGATAAAATATTAAAATTTTCCGATAAAAGATGTTCTAACTTTTTGATGTTACCCGATTTCTTACCATTAGCTAAAGATGCCCATACTGCGGCCAATCCTATGACTGCACCTACGATTAACGCCGCCATGAAACATACAGCGCATAAATCTCTTCTTACCTTTAAAAAGATTTGATTTTAGCGTAATCTTGATCAAAAATAAAAAAAAAAAAAGATAATACAACCCACCTTTCTGCGTTCTTGGCCATCACCAAGCAAACGCTCAGCTTCTGCTGGATCCGACATAATTTTGGCTTACTTTAATAATAAAAAATAAAATAAAATAAAATAAAAGTTGATGCTTTCTGATAAGCGAACGCGAAAAATAAAATCGATCTTCCAATTTTTTCGTATTGAATTAAATTATTTTATAAGGTATAAAGGAAATCAGGGGAAGAGTTGATAACTTTTTTTGTTTTTTTTGATTTATCATCATTTTTATAACAAAAAAAATTACAAATATTTAACACGTGGAGATTTTGTTTATTTCGATGTCTGTATGAACGGGAGTACCTCACAAGTTTTAATATAAAAAGGGGTTGAAGGTTCGGCCAATGATCTTTCCTTAAATGAATTCTTGTCCGTCCCTTTGAATTTCATTTGCTAAAATCGTTTTCGCCTTAAATTCAATCTAGATTTCTTTTTAGAAAAAAAAACTTCACATGATTACATCTTATAAATGATCATGTGTGTATTACCTATTTTGGAGGTCAATGTATCTATCATCAAAAAATCAATTCTTTAAACACTTCTATTTTAACGAAAATCTCCCAGAAAGAGGAAATATTGGAATCACTCATTAACTTTCATATATTTTTTTAAAATTTCAAACGTTCCAAGGATAAATTAGTACCTACACCTATTGATAATAGAGATAATAAAAGTACAAATCTTTGTACAGATCATCTTTTAAAAATTGACCCCATGATTTTTTTTTTGTTTTGCTTTCATCAAACGTATATAATTGGGCTAAAATTCGACCTTTTAACGTAAATTGGTTACATACCTTAAAAAAAAAGATTTTATCTTACCTTATAATATATCGCGTGATTAATACTATTCAATAGAGAATTTCTTGTAAAATTCGGACGTGAATATAATAAATAATATTGTTAATTAACGTAATATAAAAGATCAAGTATCAACAACCGGAATAAATTATGGCTTGGCTTCATTGAAAAAGTGATTATTAACACGGGATGATGATTAAATTTCTCTACATTATTCAGTCCTCTTTAGTGTGAACGAATATAAATAAAAACTTACTTTAAAATTCAACTGATTGATAGTTTGAACCGCTTTATTCATAAAATTTCATCGCTTTACAGTTCTTTCTTTATTACAAAATCCAATCGTTAAATAGACATGAGTCGCTCGACCTTTCAGACAATATCAAAATCCCGACAGCCTAATGTTGGTCAATTTATCACATGCACGTGCATAACTCTGCATAATGCTTGGTTGTCGGAGATTTGGTGTAAACAAGATTGATGACAGGCTTTCTTCAAAAAGTTTAGAACCCTTAATTTCCCAGACCTATTTGACCAGAAGAGGTCACTTCTATCTTAGATAACGGAACCTGAGTCAAAATTTATGACAAATACATTAAATTATCATTGGCTATCGTGTTCTTATTTACAACAGGAATCATGTGTAAAAATAATCAATGAGATGATAATGTTTCATACATTAAAAATAATCCTATGCTAAATAAACAATTATGCGATTATCAGATTTGACTAATATTACGCTACCAATAATTCATGTCAGTTGATTGCTCTTTTCAACTCCTGACATTTGATTTGAGTAGCGTTATAAATTCTCTTTATAATTATATATTCAGACCGACTCTATTACAAAAGTTTTTCTGTAATTTGTATTTCTTACTTAAAATTTTATGGATTATTATATCTGGATTTAAATCCGAATGTCAAGTAACGGTTCGGTTCTAAACAAACTTTCGTCGTTTACTATAAAAAATGCTCTATTCCGGAATTTGACGTAAATAAAGACTGTGGATTTTAAAAATCCGACATAATATTTTGATATAAATAAATGCTATTTCAAACAAAATCAACGTTTTTTAACTTCCTTTATTTAACAAATGGAACAAAATAATAATGAACCACGTTAAAAAAAAAAAGTCAAAACGTAAGTTTATGTGCTTCCGTACTAGGGATGTGAAATTGCTTCAACAAAGCATATTTAAACTGAGTATAAGCACAAGCTTTTTTCGAACTTTAATATTCTTTTAAACGTGCTTTGAGCTTGCTTAACACGTTTGTTAATTTGAGCTTAAAAAAGTATATATATAGCGCGTTTTATCAAAATAGCTCTATTAAGCAAATATTATTAAAAATTATTCAACAAATATGTATTTATAAATATACAATAAAATCTGATAAAGATTAATATATAATAAAATAGATAAGTGAGCTTACACTAACCCGCTTAAGTAAATCAAGTCTAACTATATAATACATCTGTGTTTAACTAATTAGTAAGCTCAATCTCTCAGAAGCTTATTTTCTCAAAAAAGCTTAAGCTTAAAGCTGTATTGAGCCGAACTCAAGCTGAACTGGTTTAGCAATTTAACATCCCCTATTCCGTTGTAGAAATTACAAATAATGAATGAACGCACAAATGATTGAAAATTTTTGGTATTACGGAGGGGAAAATTTGAAATTCTTAATAAAACAAAACGAATTTCTTAATAAAAAAAACGCGAGTTCTAGAAATCAAAACTTGATAATTACTCACCGTTTTTGTTGGAGGAAATTTTGGTTGTTTTTCAAGTTCTTGCGTTTCATTTCATAAAAGGCAAATTGAATCGGTGACTATTTCTATTGTTTTTGATGAACTTTTTAGATTATATAAAGTTGAACTTAACCTTTCGAAAATTGTAATCTACGGTGATATTCAGAAATTTACTTTCGTTGAGTTAAAAAATATTTTCGTAAGAGACATTTTCGTTGCGATGTCCTTTTTTCCAACTAAGGTCAAAATTACTTTTGTATACGATCTCTCTACATTTTTTTTTTATTAAGGTGTCGACACAAAATTTACAAATTCAACTTATAACTTCATCCAATTATCTATTTATGCATAAGGTTAAATTTGGCTAAGGCATTATGAAATTTATCGTATAATTAATCCTTTCAAAAAAAAAAGAATATTTTCCAATATTATATAAACAATGTGTTTGGGTTCACAATGTGAAAAAATGAGAACATCCATTAGCACTAGCAATTCTACCCTGTCGCTATCGCGACGGAAAAAATTGTTGAAGATGTGATTTTCTTGATAATAATAATTAAAAGTTTTAGTATATAATAAAAATAAATTTAGTAAAAAACTAATATAACCCTAACCCTAATCCCAACACTAATCCTAACGTTAACTTGTATTTAGTAAAATAATCCAATCTTAATCCTAACCCTAACTCTAATCCTAACGTTAACTAAAATTCAATTCTAACGATAATTTTTTTTTAATAAATCTCTAATACTAATTATTTTGCTACTTTGTGGCAAAATCCTATCCAACCATTACATTGCTTACTGTAAACTGTAAAATAATCTATAAATTCATTCAATTTTTAATTAGGCCATGCAACTTCGATTTTACGGTTCACGTAACATTGAAATTTTAAAATCGACCCGGAGACCCGGAGTTTATTAATGATTATTTTTTATTAATAAAAAAAAGTTTATATATATAAATATTATATCATCTGATTGGTCAATCTTTAAGGGTGCAACGTAAAATTTCAGATTCTTTGACCCGGCCTTGTCGCAAAAGTATTGATCTTGATAGAGTTGTGGTATGTATTTTGTTATTGATATATCAAGAACTATCCCCTTGACCTATCAAGATCGATACTTTTGCGGCCTCGTCAGTTTACGAAAATTCAGGATATTTTTTTTTTATAGTAAAATTTTTATCATGTGACCTTACATAATAAATCGGCATCAGATTTTGTTTAAAAGAAAGCAACAAAAGAAAGATTTTACCTTTATTTGTGTAATACTTACATATGAACAAGAAAAGATAACCGGGTGACCGTGTCAATTTTAAAATTTTATTTAAAATTTTTATTGCCCAGCTTAATCATACAACAATCACATTTCATTTCAAAATCATCTTAACTCCGTCAAATTACTTATTATACATGTAAAAATACGTTTCAATTCTAAAGATTGGAAAGGTTTACCTGTTGAGAAAGAAACAAAAATAAAAGATTTTTTGGAATATATCGATCTATATTTATCATCTGACTGGTGAGAAGCAAATTTTAAAGTGAAGTTTAGCCTATCAAAAACATTAGTTGGAGAAAAAATTTCAGCATAATGTATTGCTTGGGAAGCATGAAACTAATGAGTTGTAAGAAAGGAAATGATACATTATGATAATACAATAAACTTTAATCTACCAATAAAATTATACTTTATAGTTACATAATAAACTTTTATATATAAACTTTTTGTTAAAATTTGAAAAAGTGACCCAGTCAGGTGATACTTTATAATAAATATATACAATTAATATTAATAAACATTTTAAAAGTTATATACAATTAAAAAATAATTAAATTAAATTAAATTATGCAAATACTTACTAGCTGAAATAGTTCAAATCAGCTAGAAATCAGATAGCTGAATTTAAGCTGATGTTGATCAATCTAAAATACTGTTAATTAATTTCAATCAGATAAATAATTTAGCATCAATTTGAAACTTTCATAAATCAGTTTAAAATTAGCCTTAATTTAACTTAAATAAATATATAAAATCTGTATATTTTATTTAATTAAATTTATTAAATATTAAATTTTTTTATTAATAATTAAAATCTAGTATAAAATTGTAAAAATATAATAAAAAATATTATTCAAATCTACTGATTAATTTCATAATAAAATATATAAGTAATAAAAATGAAAAATAAATATACAAAATAATAATAAAATAATAAAATATGATTTATTTTTCTTTTAAATCTTCTGAAATTATCTAAAAGATAATAAATAAAATAATAAAAATAAAAGAAATTAACTCTCTGAAATCATTTAAAAAATATAAAATAAAATAATAAGATCAATTTTGAAATTGCTTAAAAAACGTAAAGATAATAAATAAAATAATAAAAAATAAAAAAATGATTTTTTTTATTTCAAATCATCTAAAATTTATTATTTTCTAATTATTTATTATCTATTATATGATCTTCATCACTTTTAGCAACAA